CTCTGTATTGTTTTATCCTTTTTTTCAATGCCAAGAATATCGTAGAAGTTAAGCTCCTGCTTGATTCAGAAGCTGGCGTTGAGTAAGGGAGATTCAATGCTTCGTAGAACCCGATATAGTTGTTGAACATGATGAGTATTGCTCACTGACTGTTATGAGCGTATCGCTCCCTAGCTTACTCATGGATATGTGAATTAGAATGATACGAAGTGATGTCGGGGAGAACACGTTTAACTTGCTCTCGTTTGAACCGTACTTCTATCCTGATGCAGTTGGTTTGCCAACAGACGCGATGCCGGCGACATCTTCACTGGATTTCATTCTGATGCACTCATTAATAAACTAGGGTACAATTTGCTTGTAACAGCCATTGAGCAATGCGCTATATGCGAACGAGTTGTCAATGATATACCAGTTATATCAAACAACTGTGTCGTATTCGATGGACATTGAATGTCCGCAAATCAACCCGTCTAAACGTCAGCATCTCTGCTGGGCAAGAGCTCAACCTCCCGAATGTTCTTTTCATGTGAGAATGGAAATGAAACGAAACTTCGAAGTAGCTACCGAGAGCACACCTGGACCGGTCAGTATACATATTTAGAGGGTTCCCTAGAAAAAATAGAAAAAAACGACTACTAATACTATTACTACTCAAATCTGTTCATGCGACTGTATCCAACACCACAGAGTTTATAAATCAAGTACTATGCCGAAAGACCATTCGATCCGCGTTGTATTTAGTCTGAAACCAAAGCAGGTGGTTTGTTTGGTGTACAAGAAAGGAACCTGCATTAATCTTCGTTATAAGCAAGGAGAGATATTTGAATAGATTTTTAAAAGATCGGAGGATTGCACTGTATCTACATTTAGTTGAGTTCAGTTCTTCGCAGCTGGACGACAAATTGTCAACAATTATGGTAATGTTTCGCGTTTTCATGTGATCATCGTATGTATGTCCTATGTACTCGGAGGCGCTTATCTGAAGACATATGCGAACGTTTTCGTCTATCTCTAATTCTGTGGAAATCATGGATCTAGCTAAAGCGCCATCGGTTTTGACCGGGTAGGTAGCCCTATTACAATGGGACCTTTTATCGGCTGCCCCGCACTCTGTATGTGACGTTAGCCCCCATTTATAGCTTGACCAGTGGTGGTACGCCTTTGTTCCACAAGAACTCGTGCAAACTTTGAACTGAGCGCCCACAATTACCATCCCCAGTATATTTCTTAAAATGCCTTGATTTTCCAACCTTCTCTGTCCCATACGTATTCATATCTGTCATGCAAGTTGCGAGTTGATCAGTCGCGGGAACCAGACTTTGTTAGACACGCTACGACTGCCGATATAGTCGGCCATGGTTCACAGTACGTCACTTTTGCTTGTCTTATTGACTGGCACCCCACGTCGGGAGGTTGAGAATACGGTTCAACGAATACTGTCACGTGTTTGGTGGTTGTCACTCGTCGATGAACAGCTTAGGGCACATACCAACCATGGCGTACTGTGAAATTTTAACATAGCTATCCTACTACTGCCTGTGGATTTCATTACTATTGATCTAATGCTAACTTTTTCTTGGTTCGACGGTTCGACAAATAATCCGGTTTATCCGAAACGAACAAGATGACGCGGCACCGGTTTATTGTTCGTTGACGATCTCTGTGGAGCACACAACGACAGTCTGCGTTTTCACCGTAGCAGTGCTGGGCTTGGCCGGATCGGTTGTCTCTGTGTCAGTTTGTAGTAGTGGGTGTGATGGTAGCTCTGATGTGCGCCGCCTTCAGCTGCAACAGTGGACAGTCTGTTCTCTCTGTCAAGAACCGTAGTAGTCATTCGAAGTTTCGGCTGTATTTCTCGCCACTCACGACGATCGAGGTGGGAGCTCACAGTTTGTATCACAGCTTCCGGATTTAAATTCATCGACGTATTGGTTGGCCGACTACGGTTTGGCAAATTGCATCCTTCCCACATGTTTGAATGAGATAGGTCGGTGGTTAGAGCGC